GGTACTGGATCTAATCGACTGATGCCTACAAGTAAGAATTTTTTATACAAACACTATGAATAACAATTTCTACAACATTAAAATCTATACCGCATCAATGTAAGTATGCCCACGACAAATCGGAGGCTGCAATTCCGTTAACATGATCAAATTATATTATTCTACATTATCAATAGGATAAATGGATTACAAAACGAAACCCGTTGTGTAATACAGACTAATTAACTAGTATTAATTAGTAAATATATATAGGATTTTCTACCATTGTTTGGTTGTGTGACATTTGAACGTCAATTTTCTAGGGACAGATACGGGCGTACGACTCATTTTGTACGAGTGCTTGGGTATCCATTTTTTATTTATTTTGTAGAAACTTGGAGATCCTTTTTAATGAGCACCTTGATGGCCTTAGGATTGCTTAATCAAGTGATTTTACAGGTTCCCACTAACTGTGTGATTCTAATGAAAATTACATATTGAGTTGATAGTTGGACAATATAATAGATGAGCTGCTCATCATGAGCATCTCTATTGAACAAAATTTTCCTTTAGCTGCAAGGGTTGAGAGAAAATAAGAGCTAGATTGGGGAATCTGACATAGTACTGCCTTTCCACTGAAGAAGAGAAGTATATGAACAACTGCAGAGTGCTAACTACCACGGTAACTAACGACTAATTATCCAATAACAAAACATCAAGTGACAGATTATCTAGCTAATAATAGTACAATCGAACGAAGATAAAATGCCGATGTTCCACTTATTTATCTGTTGTGTTTGACTTTGACTCAATAGGGTTGAAGGAAGCCTGAACGACAAGTTCAAAATCACTAGTGAACCCAACGTCTTCTTCTTCCTTTCCTTTGCATAGTGCTTTTGTGTTAGAAACAACGTTTCTAACGGGTTTCGGATTGGGTGATATTTGGGATTTTAGGGATTGAGAAGGTAGAATTAGGGATTTGGGAGAAGAATTGGGGAAGAATAAAGAAGAATGGCCGACGGCCAGGTTAGGAAGAGTAGAGAGATTAGAGAGAATAGGTTTAGTAGATACTTTCTTGATTGATTGTAACGCAGACTCAAAGTACATATTTATAGGGAATACTAAGAAACCCTAGAATAAACCCAATTCTACTAAAAGACTACTAACCATAATAAGAATTACCCTAATAACAATTATAATAATATATATAGAAACCCGAGATAAATCGGTTTCTAACATCTCCTCCCCCTTCAGACCAACCTTGCCCTCAAGGTTGACCCACTTGACCCAATCCTCTTTCCTTCTCGTGCAATGTGCACGTTGACTCCTCACTCCTCCATTTCTTGCGCTTCTGTTTCTTCCAATCGTGCTCCAACTCCGATATTGGGCTTCTTCCACCAACCTTCTTCTGTTGGTCCTTTTCTTCGACCTTCACTTTCATGGGCCCAATATTCGCGTCCTTGACATATTCAAACTTCGACAGCTCCGTTTTGGTTGGCCTCATAATTCCACAACTCAAGGAACCCAACGATTCGTTCTTGTTCAAGAACCCATCCTTGAGTACCATTTCACCAAGACCTTCATACATTTTTCTTGGAAACAGTCCATAACCCTGAATTGTTGCTTCTTCCATTAATTTTGGCCTTTGCTCTCTTGAAAGCTCACCAAATAAGCTTTCAAACCCATCTTCATTTTCCTCCAAGTCCACCCCACATAAAAGAGCTCTGGTCGGTCCAATTACTGTTGGCCCAATGCTTCCTTGAGCCCAATTTACACACTCCTCATTAGCTGCTGCTAGCAACTCATAATTGAGCCCGTGAGAGGCCCTTCTCAACCCAAACTTTGGCCCAACAACCTTCATCACACCTGCCAACTTGTGGTCCAAACCGCAACAACACTCCTCCAACACTGGCGACGCGCGCAGAGGTTTGCCGCCTTTCTTCTTCTCCGTCGACACAACCCCGCCTGTTGCCGCCTCCTCCCTCCTTGCACCATTCTTTGACAACAAATCTGTATCCAGAAGGGAATATCCCACCAGGCGGCACGACTGCCAGCTCGCCTCGGCCGGCGCTGCTTCCTCAGCATACAACAACGACTCTTCCTCCTCCGCGTTGCTTGCCGCTTCGGTCTCCTCGACGTCGTCGTCCGTCGCGGCTCTCGTCGTAGTCGGATCTTCGTCGGCCTAGCCAGCCTCTGCGGTTGGCAGCTGCCTCGCCGTCACGTCGTCACCTCCGTCCTTCAAGTCTGTCGTCCCGCGACGCAACGCATAGGCCTTCCAATACTCCACGATATTCCATAATTTGTCCTACTTTTGAGCCCACGTCAGCTCCGAAGTTTTTAGTGACCATGCCGTCTCGGGTCGCCGCTCCCCAACCTTCGCGTCGCGCTCGGCCAGCTGCGGAGGTAGTGCTTCGTCGGCCGCCTCGGCCGCCGCCTCTTTCTTGAAGAGCGGCAGCTCCTCGGAGCTCCAACGACGGCCGATGCGGCGAGCTTGTTCCCGCAATTCTTCCCATGACAAGTCTGAGAGTCTTGAAGAGCTCATCATCAAACCAGTTCTAGAACTCGTCCCCCGTTGAGAGTTGTGATGAACTCAATTCTCGAAACGGGCTCTGATACCAAATGTTAGAAACAAAGTTTCTAACGGGTTTCTGATTGGGTGATATTTGTGATTTTAGGGATTGAGAAGGTAGAATTAGGGATTTGGGAGAAGAATTGGGGAAGAATAAAGAAGAATGGCCGACGGCCAGGTTAGGAAGAGTAGAGAGATTAGAGAGAATAGGTTTAGTAGATACTTTGATAATTCTTTCTTGATTGATTGTAGCCCAAACTCAAAGTACATATTTATAGGGAATACTAGGAAACCCTAGAATAAACCTAATTCTACTAAAAGACTACTAACCATAATAAGAATTACCCTAATAACAATAATAATAATATATATAGAAACCCGAGATAAATCGGTTTCTAACATTTTGCTGTTACATCACCACCATTGTTGTTCTTGCACTATGCTCCATACGTGTTGTACGACAAGACGGTGCCGCTTTAGCCAAAACGCTGCACCTTACCCTTCAGGATCAACACACTGCCGTTTTACCTCAACCGTCCTTCTAAGTCTTCAGCAGCAGTCTCGAGCATCCTCTCCATTTTCCTATCTGCTTCTTGACGACAGGCTTCTCGTGATTCTCCAAAAGCAGTCGTCCCTCTATAACACCTTTCTACTGGAGCTCATGATGGCCAGAAGGAGACGTTGCTCTATGGAAGCTACTCATGATCTTCGCAGGTCTCTCTGTAAACGGTCACTTCTCTAAAAGCACTATAAATTCTAGGGTTCTCGTATTGTTTAAAACTTGGCAGTCTGTAGTGAGAGGAATTCGAATGTCTCTTCCTACATTGGGTCCTTTATTTGCTTCAGTTAGGGCTGAAAATTACCCTGACCCTGCCGTGAACCTGTCTGAACCCGCCCCTGTTTCCTTCTTGACCTTGTATGACCCTCGCGGGTCGGGTCAGTGGGTCGACCCTTATCAACACACAAATTTTTAACAAATTATATTTTGGTACCTAAAATGATTTTTTCTTACAATTTAGTACCTAAACTTTATTTTTATACAAATAAATCCATAATTTTTTATGGAAAAATTATGTTTTGGTACCAAATTTATTTATTTTTACAATTTAGTACCTAACCTTTTAACATTTTACAAACATGTCCAATGTGTTTGTATGTGGAATTTCATATCTAAGAACTCGTGCTCCGAACTGCCATCTTACACTTCTCCATATTCGTTCTTCTACTATCAGTTGCCGAAAGTTATAAACGAATCTGGATAACATTTCAGTTTGGATTGTAATAGGGTCTTCTGGGAGCGAGACCCTTGTCCCCCTGATGGGGGACTCAGCAACATCATGCAAATGGTACTGTCAATAGGGTTCAACTATCTACAACGCAACCGTAACTTCCAAATGATTACTAAATACTTAATTTTTATATATAATAAAATTTCATTTTTTAAATTTCAACTACCACCCATTTATATTTTACAAAATTTTGTCCTTATTTATATTTAATATCCTACTAAACAGTCATTTACGAACTGATTGCCTGTTCGATTTCAAAGCATGTTATTTATGTAACTCAAAATTTAAAGAACTCTTTTAACACTTTTAGATAAAATCAATACGAGTTTGAGAAGCAAATAAACCAATAGATATGATAGATTACTTTTGTGCTCACCATCAACTGAGCTAATCATTGATTCCTTTCAATCCATTGAACAACTCATCATTCTTATAACAATGATAACAGTTTTCAAAGTGTCGTAGGAAGAAAAGAGTCAGAACTCACTAAAACAACTAAATTTATGTTTTGGATGAAAACCCGAAAAAATTTGGGGTATAAATGGACTTCTGTTTATATAATAGTTATATATGTTTTAAATATAAATGAATTGTAGCACTATGGAAAATATGTACTTAGAGAATGATGGTGTCACAAGTTCGCTGCATAAATAGTATTTTCCATAGTATATGGTTCCCTTTTATTAATGAGAGAAAATTTGTTAATCCAATTATTATAATTCTTTAAATATGAGAAAATAAAATACGAATGGGAAATTAAAGAGGGAGCTTGTGATATTTAAGAGACTTTTTTTTTACAATAGATATTTAAGAGACTTGAAGAGACTTAACTAACATTTGTTTGTTAATTTTTTTTTGGTAAGATTGTTAATTTTATTTTGATAAAACATTTGTTATTTTGGCTCAAACAATCAATCCTTTCCAATTTTAAGGAAACGCGATCCCAATTTTGTATACCCAAATTAAAAGCAAAAGCCCAACTAGGGCCCATTAACCGGCTATGCGTGTCACACACGGTTTGACTTGGTTAATGAGACGCGTCCAATCCAACGTGTAATTTACTTATTACTCACGTTACATGGGTATGGCAGTAAGTATAACCGACTCCCAACGTTATAGTTTCCCACTGCTATATATACATAGGCATACTCTTTCGTTGAGACATTTGTTCTCCCATGTTGCAGAGATCCTTCTCAGTTCAGAGACGCGTCCCAAAATGAGATCTTGCAAAGGGGGCCTGCGACGAGTTGCTCCCTGCGATTGTGTTTCTAACGGCGAGTAGAGAGTTGTGGTGTGTCTCTCTGAGGCTGTGTCTCCGCTCCATCGGCGTTGCTGTTTGCGGCAGAAATTTCAGAGCGGCATTGTAAGGCTTTTGTCGGGGTTTATCGGTGAGGGAATCTTCATGTTCTTCTTCTTCTTCTTCTTCTTATTGCCTCTTCGTCTTTGCATTTCTACGCAAATGCTCTTCCGAATTTTATTGAGACCCGTTTCGTCGCTTTGTAAGCCCTAATTCTTACGGTTTGAGATACATGAGTGCGGCTGTCTTTCTTCCTCTGAATCGAAATTGTAGGGGTGATCAATGAAGGGAGTTTGTTAAGGTTGTGGAATTCGCATATACTGGCTGTTGTTTGGTTTTTTACAGTAGCAAAATTGATGGTTAGGTTTTCCCCGTTAGATTAATAATCCAGTTAGGGTTTGGGTGCGGGGCCATGACTGTGCGGTCCGTTTGCGGGTATGACTTTGTGAGGAATCCATGTTGATGTTTTGTCGCTTGGTGGAGAAGTCTTCTCTGGTATAATTCCTAAGATCCCTTCTCTGTTGCCTTGAATTTCTTATGCCGGATGGAAAATCTTAGAGCTGTGCCTTTGATGATTCACTTGCTGCAGTCTCAAGTGAATGAGAAGATTTTGCTGAAGTATTCTAATACTACTGTTTTTATGGTTTATAATGACTGATTATGCTTGTCCGAATATTTATGTTGCCATCTGGTTGTTCCATATATTTACACCTATTAAGTTGCTTCATGCACTCTGTGGTCGCCTTGTGTCCCATTGCAGTCTAGTGATCACAAATCTGTAGCCATGCTGGTATTAGATGCCCTTTTTTAAGTCCTGGATGAGAACTTTGGAGTGGTTAATCCACTCCAGTTGCCCTTCTGCTTTATCCTATAATGTGAAAATTACAGGAGTCCTAGAAGGGAATTTGGAATGACTAATAGTAACCAAATAAAATACATGGATTGGTGGCCATGTTTGAGAAATAAACTTGGACCGAAAATTGTGTCCCGTTGTCCCTACAATTGAAATTGTCTTTAGTCATTCCAGTTGCCCTTCTGCTCTAACCTTGCTCAGTAGATGCCCTTACTAGAGTCCTAGATGGGAACTTGGAATGATTATACTCTATGTGAAAAGGCATGGATTGGTGGCCATGCTTGAATAAGAATGCTGTCTGTCCGAAAGTGAAGATTATTAATCATTCCAGTTGCCCTTCTGCTTATCGTGCTAAGATAAATTCATAAATGGAGTCTTATAATGGAACTTTGGAATGAGTGAAAGATACTAACGATATATACATGGATTGGTGGCCATGTTGTTGCTCTAAATCTTGTGTCCCTTTGCTTCTCATTTTCGTAAGACCAGGACAGTTTGTTAACTGAAAGCCCAAGCTCTACATTATGTCAGATTTTGATCTATCGTGTTATCTCCCTCTGTGGGTTACTTTGCAATGATTTGCCCCCTCTGATCCATCTCAATCTAAATCTTTATATCCGTAGACATCTACGGATGAAAAAAGATTTCCAACCGCCATGAGAATACTTTGTACTCTTATTGCAGCCTGTGTTCCAATCCTTTTATTTTATTTTATTTTATGAATGAGCTGGTTGGTTATTATTTTCTTGGTTTACCTCTATGTATACCTAGCAGAGAGTTTAAGAAAAGGACAGTAAGTGAGATTATGAGAACCAGCTACTCGGACATGGTTCTGTATTTTCAATTGGAAAGTCTGAACCTACTTCAGTTTGCTATTACTGGAGTGTGATAATTGGAAACTAGAGTTTTCTGTTGGTGGAGAAGTCTCCTCTGGTATAATTTTTAAGGTCCCTTCTCTGTTGCCTTGAATTTCTTATGCCGGATGGAAAATCTTAGAGCCGCGCCTTTGACGATTCACTTGCTACAGTAACATGTGAATGAGAAGCTTTTGCTATAGTAGACTAATACTAGTGTTGTTATGGTTTATAATTCCTGATTATGCTTGTCTAATTATTTTCGTTTCCATTTGGTTGCGCCATATATTTACACCTATTGAGTTGCTTCATTGAAGTTCTGCAATGTTTCATTCACTCTGTGGTCACCTTATGTCCCCATTGCAATCTAGTGATCCACAAATCTGTAGCCATGTTGGTATTAGATGCCCTGTTTAAAGTCCTGGATGAAAACTTTGGGAGCAATTAATCCACTCCAGTTGCCCTTCTAGTGTATTCTATAATGTGAAAAATTACAGGAGTCCCTAGAAGGGAACTTTGGAATGACTAATAGTAACAAAGTAAAATACATGGATTGGTGGCCATGTTTGAGAAACCTACTTGGTCCGGAAGTTGTGTCCTGTTGCCCCCACAATTGAAACTGTCTCTAGTCATTCCAGTTGCCCTTCTGCTCTAACCTTGGTCCGGAAGTTGTGTCTCGTTGTTCCCACAATTGAAACTGTCTATTCTTTCCAGTTGCTTTTCTGCTCAGTAGACGCCCTTACTAAGAGTCCTAGATGGGAACTTTGGAATGATTAATAATACTCACTGTGAACATGCTTGGATTGGTGGCCATGTTGAATAAGAACGCTGTCTGTCCCAACGTGAAGATTATTAATCATTCCAGTTGCCCTTCTGCTCTATCTTGCTAAGATAATTTCATTAATTGAGTCCTAGAAGGGAACTTTGGAATGAGTGAAAGATACCAAATGAGATATACATGGACTGGTGACCATGTTGTTGCTCTAAATCTTGTGTCCCTTTGTATATCGGTTTCATGTGATCAGGACATTTGTTAATTGAAAGCCCAAGCCCTATATTATGTCGTCAGGTTTTAGTTTATCATGTACTTACTATTATCCCTGGGGTTGGTTCATCAAATGTTGTGTCCCTACTTGTCTTTGTTTGAGATGATAATGATCATAATTAGTTGCCCCTCTGCTGCATCTCAAGTTCAATCATGACAGTTTTGAATGAAAGTCCTAAATCGGATTCCTAGAGGGGAACTTGTTATTCATCAAAATTGGAAATCTGTTATGATCAAAAGTTGACATGTTTACTCTTCATTCTAGTTGCCCTTTCTCAAACGAGTAATTTACTTACCGCAGCCTCTGCCCCAATTTTTGTTTTACCGAGTAGACTTTATGTGCTACATGAAGTCCTCTTGGTTATGATTGCAATCATGCACTGTGTATTATGTTTACATGCTGAGTGAGAAAATATTATATCCTTGGTTCATAAATGAAGCAGTTAATATGACTATTATGATATATCTTTATGTGATAAAGAGCAGAGACTCATGACTCTTTTGAGTTATGCCAGTGTAATGCGATTTGGAGGCATAATAGAATCTGTGTTTTCTGGCGGTTGTACATGCCATTTTTTTTATAGAAAGCCTTCGAATCTTTTGCAAGCTTATGAAACCCATATGCCTTCCGCTTATTAAAAGTTCTTGTTTAATTTTGTAGTGAAATTTGGTGAATACTTGAGAGGGGTCCTACTCAAATGTTTGGTAGACATGGCAAGTATTACAGTTCTCTGTAAGTGAATCGTGCTACATTCAAGTGATTATGATGCGTAGCAGCCTGTTATTGTTTGTAGAAATGAAAGATTCTTACATAACACCATAATTTGCTGTCCATAATCATCTGCATCGCCATCTTGTGAGCATGTTTTGGAAGGTCAGGGCAACCCTATCTGTTATGTTAAGTTTCGTTTCTTTGTGTTGAAGATTCCAGGATGTTGATTCTTCTGTGCTACTTGTGTTGTCCATTTAATATGTCATTTGAAGTTTTGGTGGTATCCCAACAGTGATGCAACCCGGCAAACCGTGAATTTTGATGGTAGTAATACCTTGGGTTGGGTGATTAGTAATGAGCTGAAGCTGATATATTGATTACATATGTATTCTATCCACTGATGTTTCGAAGTTGTATGTTGAGATCAGGTGCCTTTACAAACTCAAAAATTCGATTGCACATTTCTCTTTAATGGAAAGAGCAGCAGGGAATCCAATTTAGTTGTGGTGATGCTATTGCTGGTGTTATTACCTTATTAAGGAACTGATGTTTGTAAAATGACAGTGTACCCATTATGATTGTGAACATGGAAGCTGCTGTTGGATTTTTGACCGACCAAAGCAATTCCCTTCCATCTGATTTTGTGTGGGAAGTACACAAGTATAGATTCTTATTACATCCTGCAGCTATTTATTCCTGGCAGATTCTCTCAACCCAGTAAAAGATGAACTTACAAGCATGGTTGGACAAAGAATGGAATGTCGCGCTGAATGTTTAATTGTTTATGCATCATTTACCTGGTTCTTTTGCTGGGAAAAAGAGAAAGGTAAGGTCTTTCAAGGATACAACAACTAGACCTTTGGCAAAACAACACGTGTTCTTAATTAAATCTGAATTGATTTTGTCGGCAAAAAATCCAACCGACAAGGAAGATTTGGTGTGATTTTGGTATTTTAAATACCTAGACGGCTAGACAGTGGCAGCCCAATCAATAACAATAACCGACAGCCGCAGCCCGAACCGTTTATTCTGTATTATTCTATTCACCCTCCGGAGTCCGGCCATGGCAACAGCCGCTCCCTCCACGCCTCTGCCACTTCAGGACCGGGTAGCGATAGTGACCGGCTCTTCTCGAGGTATCGGGAAAGCCATAGCTCTCCACTTGGGCTTACTCGGCGCACGACTCGTCATCAACTACACCTCCAACAAGGAACAAGCCGACCTCGTTGCCGCCGAGCTCAATTCTTCTTCATCAGCTCCACCGCGAGCAATCACCGTCCAGGCTAATGTCTCCGACCCAGCCCAGGTGAAGACCCTCTTCGACGAGGCCGAGAGGACCTTCGGTGGCTCGCAGGTCCATATCCTGGTAAATTGCGCTGGCGTGCTGGATTCCAAATACCCTTCCATCGCTCACACTTCCGTGGATGATTTCGATCATACATTTGGGTAATTTTCGAGGACCCGAATTTATTTTTGTTGAACTTTGCTTTTGGGGAGAGATTGTCATTTTCATGTAAAAATGTGTCTCCATTTTTCCAGTGTGAATACTAGAGGGGCGTTCCTTTGCTGCAAGGAGGCGGCGAATCGAGTGAAACAAGGCGGCGGAGGGAGGATAATCCTGCTATCATCGTCGATGGTGAGTGGTTTGAAACCAGGGTTTGGAGCCTATGCAGCTTCAAAGGCAGCTGTGGAGGCGATGGTAAAGATTCTGGCGAAGGAGCTCAAGGGAACTGGGATTACTGCTAACTGCGTGGCTCCTGGTCCGGTTGCCACGGAGATGTATTATGCTGGGAAGTCCGAGGAGATGATACAGAGGAACATTGATGAGAGCCCGTTAGGCCGAATTGGTGAACCAAAGGATATTGCTACAGTTGTCGGGTTTCTGGCTACTGATTCCGGTGAATGGATCAATGGACAGGTAATCCGTGCCAATGGTGGCTATGTGTAGAACTAGAGAAGAACCATTTGTTCAAAACTCCGATGAATGGTTGGTGTTGTGGGGAAATATGGGTTGCGGGAATAGATCAGCAATGCCATGGAGTAGTTTGATATGTCAAGCTATGGGGTTCTAGTGTTATCTTTGCAAGACCCCTTACATGTATTGCTTAGCAATAATCGTGGGAAGTCTGGATTTGAGTAGAAGTAGGATTGTTGTACTTTACTCAGGTTGATGCTTTAATGATATAGCCTTTTGAACATAGACTTTGTTGATGCTTAAGGTACAAAACGTACATCTCTTACTGTAACCTACTCTCTTTTAGATTGAATTAATTCTTCCACGAGTGCTTGGCTCGTAAGAGCAAGTGATCTTGGTAATAGGCTGTCTGCCATGGTCATGCTCGATGGGCGCTGGCTCATCTCCTGACAAAAATCACTAGGTCATTCCTTCCACAGCAGGTTTCATCAATTCCAACTAAAGCCATTCAAGTCAAGCTGTTTGCAGCCTGAAGTAGCATCAATCTCATCGTGGGAGTTCAGGTCCAGCTTTGTCCCGAAGTAAGGCAATGGATATCCTTGTGACAATTTTTCCTTCTCTGGGATGACTGAATCTGACTGCTTATTAGTTTGGTCAGGGAATATGTCAGTCTCAGTCCTTCCTTTGTATCTTCCTTCAGAAAACATATTACTTGCATTCCCTCCTGCATGGAGTCCCACACTCATGGATAAATCACTAGCGCTTCTGTCAGTAGGGAAAACTCTCCTTTCGGCAGTTTTGCCAAGAGATGATAGAAACATATTATTATTTTCTTTCATGTCTTCTCTCCACCTGATGTCAGACTGCTGTAGCATTTTCCCTTCAGGAAGTTCTTTTGCCTCCAAGAGATTACTACTGATGTAGGGCCTCAATCCCATCCCTATGTTGTGCATCTCTTGTTCCTTTTGGGATCCTTCACAAGAGGTGAGACAGCTGTCAATCGAACAATCATTTGGCTGGTTTGTTTGTGTGTGCTGTGGGCACAGACCCTGCAGTTCTTTCAGCTCTGAAAATGAAGAACTGAGACACTGAGTAGATACTCTCGAGACGAGTTCTGAGAGTTGAACTTTGGCCGCCTCAAGTCCTACTGCACCTAAGTTCTGCTTCCCGAGGGTTTCCTGTGCTTTCTCAAGCACTGATTGTAGGTATTTTCCTTGTGCCTCTATACGAAGCTGTAAATGTCTCTGTACCTGGTCCAATTGCATGTTTTAGAAGAAAGTAGTTTGACTATAAATCCTTGTGTTTAATATGAATATGAAATGACTTTCGCATTGTAAGTATTGGCTTACCTCAAGCTGGTCATGCAACCTTCTCTGAACTTCAATTTGCATCTGTAGTGCTTCGCCAATGTGTAAGCTTCTGAAGTAAGAAGTCATTTTAGTTTTGACAGAAAAGTGAAAAGAAACCTCATGATGGTGGTACACAGAGTCATACTTGTTTGCTTGGGGTGCAATACTCGAGTTACTCGAATGAGGTTGAGTTGGTTCAGGTACTCTCTCTATAGCAACCGCAAGAGGACCTGCGTCAAATCATTTTACTTCAGAACCCTTTGCTGTCAAATTATTTGATGATTGGAAGGAGTACATCAGAACCGTAAATGAGTTGGAACCGTTGGCAGAATGCTATGATTGGCATCTTACCCATCTTGTTGCTTCCACTATTAGCCTGTCCATGAAGATTTTTGCTGAGCCTGTACTTCTGTTTCATTAAATGTGGAATACGAGTTACACATATGCCACAAATAAGACGGTTATATTTTTGGCTTATCATTCTCTAATACAAGTAGAAAGAGTAGAGGGTACTACTTTGTAGATTTTTGCTAATTGGACTCTTTACTGCACATCAGATACTCTCCTCTTTCAGATTCTGATTTAATAATCTTGATTTTTTAATACTTGTAAGTGAAGGAACTTTAACGAGAATAGTGAGGTATGGAAGTCACTAACAGTTATTGCATCCTGTTACAATAGAAGAAAAATTCGTTTTGCATTGTAATTTGCTGGATGGTATAATCTACTCAAACATGCATCTTCGTTTATTAGTTCTGAGAGAAGAACAACTAGTGTTACTGAGCATCATATAAGTAGTTACCTGTAAGTGGCTCTTTAGGTGGTATAGTGTGAGCCCAGGAATTCCCATAAGTTTCATAACCGTTTTTGGAGTAGCCTCTGCACAGTAAGCAATTCAAGAAAATTGAATTGAACATAAATTCACATTTCTTTCAGAAATTGGATTGGATTGAAATACGTTTTGGTCAATACTTACTGTCTGCTCCTCCTAGCTGGTTGACTGCTTCCACGAAACGTTCATGCAGGTCTGGTGTCCATTTAAGTCTTGGCTTTGCATCTGTTGAAAGGACAAGCCCCGAGTCTCCTGGGCCATTCCCACCTTGCAGGAACAAATGCCTCTCTGATGGGATTGGTATTCTTGAAGAAGGGTGCATGCTCTTGCCTTGCTGATGATGGTACATATCTATCCCCCAAGAAAACTGAATTTTGATGTAGGGAGGAGAACTTACACTTGATATTGCTATCAGGAAAAATGTCTTCTTTACCTAATGCCTTGTCTTTTCACCCTTGATCCAATCTGTTACAGCCTAAGAAGTATTGTTTAAGAAACACTCTTCTGGGACAAGCCAACTGCCTGGTGTTTTTTCCCCCCAATATGTGATTGTTCTGTTTGCTCTTCCTTGTTCTCTTTATCCCATGCCCAATGCATACTGACCAAAGGTCTGCTCTACTATGTCCTTATAAAGAGACGGGATGGAGGAAGAGAATGGGAAGCTATAGACGCATAGAATCTTTGATAAAGCCAACATAATGCCCTACCCAATCTTATATTCACAGTGAGTTGAAAAGAGATATTGTCCTTTCTTTTTTGTTAAATGAGGGAGGGCCTTTACTCTATACTCTACTTTCCATTGTAAGAGAATTCCTCCTCACATTAACTCTGGGAAACTCCTTGACGCCTTGAATTAGATACTGGGAATTGATCCACCAAGCTTTTCTTTAGTTGTGTGCATTCGTATTTGTCCATTGGGCAAAAAGCAAGAATCTTATTCCTGGATGTGAGAGGAATTTTTCTGACCTAGAAGAGGGGAATCAATTATCTCTGCTATCTCGAGCCCTTCTTTCATCCCTTTCCGTCCTTATGGAATTCTCAGATTTGAGATGTCTCTGTCCCTCACCCTGGTCTTGAAGTATAGTTTCAGTTGTCAATGCAATATTAAATTAGTGATGATCTACACTCTATATGATAGGGGTACTAATGCCTTCAAATCTATAACCAAGGTAGTGGATGGAGACAGCATACGTTGTTTAAGTGGTCATATTTAGAGAATATAGAAGGGGATTCTATTGACTAGAGCACCTTAAGACTTCGGTATTAGATACAACCGAGTGAAGAAACGGGAAAACTGCAAAAGAAATGGGAAAATTGCAAAAGAAATGGGAAATGGGGGTGAAGATGCTTCTCCTTCAACATTGTCTGAAGGCAAGGAATGGAACAAGAATACATTCTTTTCTGTCCCCTTCGGTAAGTTTGGTACTTATTCAGTCCCATACAGCATAAAATATAAGAGGGTGCAAACCCTTTTCTATTCTTCAACTGGCAGAAGACAGCTGGCCCTGTACCGGCCGAATTCTCCCTGGGACCTCAATGAAAGAGAAAAAAGAAGGTTGTACTTGCTTGGATACTTTCACTTGACAAAGGACAAGACGAGTCTGCCACGGAGAATTCATGCCACTCAGTTACCAAACTCTATCTTGTATGAATATACAAACTTAACATAATGCTCTGCTGTTTCTCTTTCTTCTCGATGTTCTTCATGAAGCTTGATCGGCATCATCTTATATAAAAATGTGATACATGTGCACTTATAAACCTTTTGACTGATTTCATGCAAGACTACATATGCATTTATATTTGTCTTTGTTGTTCCCTTGTGTTATCCTTCTCTTCAGTTTGCTTGCAGAGTAGAGGTATAACTGTTGTTCATGTGTAAATGGTTTAACTTGTCTTGAGATGTTAGAATAATCTGCATGCTTATGTTTTGGAACTGTTTCCTTTAAGTTTTAAAGGTGTACTTATATTTCAACTGCATGTTCTTTATACTTGTGTTGTTATATCATATTGCAAAAGGATTGTGGTGATCATCGGGAATTAATACTATACCTATTTTATAAAACAGAATAGCTTCTCCATTATCAACAGCTAATGCAGAATAAATGCATTCATTAACTGATGTAGAATATTAAATCTGTCAGCTCAGAGCAGTGCAAGCATGCTCACATGCATATCATTTGTAAATTAATATAAAATTCAAGTTGTCTATTAAGAATCAGAAGTTGGATATGTCTACACGAATGCTAGGATTGGATGATCTCTGTTGCCAAACTGCACTTGTAATGCAAGATCTCAGTTAAGCTCAGGTATGCACATCAAAGTTGCCAGTCCTGTCAATGGGTTTCGGCATTAGTTCCTATTGGCCCTTTCATATGAAGATCACTTGATTCTAGGTTGTCAGGATATTTTAATATATACGTGTATGTGTGGGTATATGTATATTATTTGTGTTTTATACAGTTTGGCAGAATCCAGGAAAAGGGTTCAGGTAAAGCATAAAAGAAGAGGTTCTTCAGTAGTGTACTAGCATGTGGATAGGAATCAATCACATAAGGGGAATGATAGCGTACGCTCCAAGTCATAGAACTGTTATTTTTTTTTTTCCGTCTATGACATGGCATCACCATAAACGAGTCTTGCATTCTGCTGAGATTGGCAGAAAGTGTTTTCATGCATGCATAGCCATGATAAGTTAAGTGAAAGTTGGCATTTACCTTTCTTTTCCATTGTGAGTGAGTGAATGGAATCACGTTAGTTTGATTGATGATGATTTATGCTACGCTGCCGGACCTGAACTTTTACAGTATACCATGATAAATACGGTGTTCCATACAATAGGGGTAATCCAATCATTAGACATTCTCTGAATCAGTTGTGCCTTAACTGTAAATAGTATAAACATGGTGTGTATTTCAAGTTTTAAACTTTCGTTTCATGTCTCAAAACAGAGTCACTTGATCTTTTGCCTATAATAGTAAAAGTGATGGTGCTTGTCTTTACAATAATGTTGCCAAAATGCCCCTCCCTTGATGAGCATGAAAAGCAAGCTCAATTCTCTCTATCTCCTTCTTTTCTTTGTTTTCTTATGTAGTACTAGAGAATACTTCTTACCCCTTTCACTTTTTCTGTTATCTGACTGCAACTGTATTGCCTTCTTCCCTTCTTCTCTGGATGATTTATATATTCTCCCACTTTGGATAAAAGAGAGAAAAGAGGGAGAAGTGGGGTGGGGAAACTTATATTTCTTCCTTGTACTTACATTTCCTTTTATGGATTCTCATACTACTGAAATGCATATATTCCTTTTTCTTTTCAGGGCAGGGAGAAGCTCTTGGAAAGAGAAACATGCATGCATATCAAAAGATCACTTGTTCGAATCAATGCAAATGTAGCTACCAGCCAATTGCACGGTGAGATTGCACACGTCAGAAGCTCATTGGCCACTCGTGTTTCTTCGAGCTCCACAGGCATGCAAACTGAGAGAAATGACCACGGAATGTATTCTGTGTTGACAACAAACAAATAAGAGGGCAGAGGAGGAAGGCCAGCCGTGAGATGGGATTCTGAGGGGAATCGGAATGTTGGAATCTTAACTCAAGCTTAAGCCAAGAAGTCATATTCTCAAGTCAAGAATTTTGGAGGGAGTTATTCTTCACTACCCCAAAGCCACTGAAAATGGGTTCCTTCCTTCCCACCTCCCTCTTGTCTTTTCTCTTTTGGTTGCTTTCTGAGCAGTTTAGATGCCTCTCTCTCTCTAGCTCTGTGATGATTTGTCTGTGTTGTGATGTTGAGAGGAATCTTGCCATGTTTAGGGATTTTCTTAGGTTTGTCACTTTTGCATCAATTGTTCCCTTTTGCCTGTTATATATATTCTTCTTTGGCTGACAGGAACCGGCTGATGAACTTGATGGTGGTCCAAAAATCCCTTGTGATGATTTCCAATATTGGCGACTTCCAAAGCTCTACAAACTTGGTCCTTCAATGCTTACTTTAATTGAGTGCATGTCTGGTGCTCTGATTTGATTTTTCCAGTTTGATTAGCCTGAAAATGGCTGTGATTTTGCCCCGTAATAATATCTTGCTCTGCTGCATTAGGGACAAAAATTAACAGGATTTGTTCGGTGGGAGATGGCAAAAATTAACAGGATTTTGCCCCGTAAAAATTAACAGGATTCGTTCGGAGGAAGGGGAGAAGAAGAAGAGAAGATGGTGGGGAAGAAGAAACGACCGTCGGTTACTTTTGTTTTAATTTTTTAAAATTAATTAATTAATTAATAAGTTGGTATGGTTGACCAACTGATGTGACATTTTTTGTTGACTGCCACATCAGAATGTCTCTTCCACGTCAGCATAATATCTGCCAACACATCATAATTTAAGAATTGTTAACATAAAGCTAACGTTTGGCTAATAATTTGTATTTCGATAGTTGTGGAGTGGTTATAATTCACCGCTGAATAGTTGTGGCTAATATATTGTATTTACCCTTATTTTTTTTGGGTAGAAGTATTTACCCTTATTTTAAATAGGTATATAATACATTATACAGTCGTATTATTCACACCACATATTTGAAGCATGTGCAATACATGTTGATTTCAATCCTTTATATACCCGTTCTTTATTCTTTAATATAATTAATATTTTTCTTTAATGATCGACAATAATAATATTTTGAACTATAATTCTATGAACATGTATTTATCATTTCTATCTCTTCATTTATTGTCTATCATTAAAGATAATGGTTGATCAAATGACAGTCAAATTGTATATGACCATCATTGGGGCAGAAGCACATAGAAGTAGGTGCTACAAGTACTTTAAAATTATAATAATTAATTTTATTTCTCTATTATTATAAAAAAAATCAATCTTAATGAAGACAAAACATCGTGTTAGGTTGTCATTAGGAAAAGTTCATGTAAAATGTCCAATCTCAATGGAATATGGTGAATTTCTGGTGCACGAGGTTGTCAAACCGGTTTATGTCAGTGTGTCGGTTTAGCAAGTGGAATGGTTCGACCGGTGGTACATACCAGTTAATATTAGAAATAATTAACAAATACTCATATTTAAACATGACATTTAACATAAATACCTAAATATTTGTACTTGAATCCAACAAATAACATCAAAATTTGACTTTTTAACACATGAAACAAATAATAAACTACTTTTATCAATTAAAATTCACTAAGATAAGATAATTTTACTTGGAGATTCGTATATCGATCGTGCCGGTCATACCGGTGGTGTCATGCCGGTTTTATGACCGGTACAGGTTGAACCAGGTTCAACCAGTGGCACGCCGGCCGGCGTGAGCACCAAAAACCTGAGATTAGTTTTTTTTTTAAGCATGAAAATCAGAATGTAACCTGCAGCCGGAAAGTGCGACATCTTCTCATGGTTTGCTTTACGTTAGAATCCCTTTCCTTTTTCTCTACCGGTCTATTTGTGGGCTGATAGTTTGCACTCTGATAGTCAGATTCTTTTACCTTCTCTTCCTACGGTTTAGCACAAAGTTCATTCACTTGTTGATAGAGTAACGTGAGATCTAGTTAGAGGAAATCGCGAGCCTTAGCTTTTGTTCCTTCATTTTGAGCTGTGATTAATTGGCGTGTCTCATAATAGGCTAACCTATTTGTGACTAAGAAAGTTCTTTCAAGGTATTTGGCCAGTTTGGTACGGTTTGATTTTCGATGGTAGTTGTTCTCGTTTGGTTAACTTTTGAATCTCTTTGTTTTCTCAATAATACTATTGATCTAGTAGATAAAAACATAGATGAATATGAGTTAAACGAAATGTAAAATATTTTAAGGTTAATATTCTAGTTTGGCCTGAAGTTTGGTGTAAGTCTTAGTTTTGGCCTGATAGGTTTACCAATTCGTCTCCCAATCTTCCTAACTGCATCAGGATGGAAATAGTGAATAGGGAGCTCCAGCAATATTGCCCACACTAGAGTTGATGATTTGCCCACACTAGTGGATGTGCGGGCAAATCGGGTCATCCTCCACCACAAATCCCTCATCATGTCCATCCTCTCTAATGGTTGCCATTGTGTCTTCGGAGTCGGAGTCGGCGATGTACCATTCATCAGTCCTCAACAGATCACTAAAGAGACGACTCACTACTCCTTGGCCAATGGCCAGCTCCCCAGGGAAAAGGCCTGGGGTTGGTCTCTTCAGGTTTCTCAGCACCTCCTGCCCAAACATCTTCTAGAATCTCATCATTGCACCGCAGGTTTGGCTCGTTTCTTAGATTGTTGTGCCTCCCGGATGACGAAGCAGATGGTGGTCGGCGTTGCCCAGCTATCATGTCAGGTTGGGGGAGGTGCCGGAGCCACTCCCGCCCAGCGGTGAGATCACTGCCGACATCGCGAAAAGCGTAAAAACCCTAGCTCAGCTCGATTCTCTCCGTGGCACTCCTATTTCTTCGGAGCACTTTTTTCCGATTCAACAAATTCCCTTTTTTTCTTCCATGATTTTTTAAAAAAGAATAATGTTTATTTGATGTAAGGAAATATAAATAGTAATGATTATCATTGTGGGCGCATCTATGTAGTACAAATTTCACCTTGTGTAAATTACAATGGTCATTTGTATAAAAATAATCTCAAATTTCAAATGCACAACAATGATAAAGATAACATGTGAATTTTCGGCAATACGATTTGAGTTAGAATTGAATGGAGGATTGTTTGGGCTAGAAGAAGTGTCACCATGATGACGTTTCGGCGGCATTGCATGCAATCGTTGCACAACCAGGGGGAAAACCAACTGAGAAATTGAACCTTAATCCCCTAAGAAGCAGCCGGACTGATTTGATAACAGGAACTGATACAGTGATACTACTGGTCAATCGTCAAGGACTGAAACACATTAATCAACCAGATTAGTTACAAATTGTATAGATTTCCCTTTGGGAAAGGAAAAGTACGAAGGACATCGCAAAACATGTTGTGCAAAGGCAAAATAAAAACTACATCTTACACCTATGAATCCACAAATTCCGTGGCGAGTGAAATTGGTCAGGCAAAGCAATGCGACGACCAACGAGATTGAGCGAGAGATTCCGGGAGAGAGAGACGACCACAAAGACAGATTGAGACGCGACACAGACGACAAAAGCACGTGCGAGTCGGTATTTATTTTCTAGGGCTTTCCAAGACAGAGTAGATGCTAACAAAGACAATGACGACCATCGAAGTAGAGAGAGGGCGACACTGGGGGATTTCGATTTCAAATTGGGTGTGTCCGATCAGAAGGTGAGAGATGAGGTGAGCTTTGATGAACAGAGATGTCGTCGAGAGAGATTTCGCGGGTCAGATTGAGAGTGACAAAAAGGAGGGCGATTTCGATTTCAGATTGTGGTTGGGAAGAGTCGGCGATTGAGATAGGTTTCGGTCCTTCCTATTGAGCTTGGGGCGAGATCGAGATAGATATCGCGGGTCAAATTGAGAGTGGCAAAAAGGAGGGCGAGTGATTTCGATTTCAGATTGTGGTTGGGAAGAGTCGGCGATTGAGATAGGTTACGGTCCTTCCAATTCGGTGTTTATATTTCTGATTGAGCTTGGGTCGAGACAACCGTCAGAGAGCTATTCAGTTTTTTGCAGGAGAATGGAAAAATACAGCGACGAAGAAAATGAGTCTAAATTTACATTAAAAACCCTCCAAACTGGGCTCAAGATAGGGTCCATAACCATGGGTTATGCACCCATCAATAACCAAATCTGGACTCTTCATTTAGAAAATCCAAATCTAAGGATGGAGAATAAAAAATCATTTTTATTTTCCCTAGCTTTCTTAATCGGCTCATATATTTTTTGTTTTAACTCGGATTTTTTTTTTGTGCACAGATGGAATGAGTTCATCGTGCTCTACAAAATGAGATCAATTTTCAATATTTTTCGAGAAAAAAAATTATGGCCTCTCTTTACCAACTGCATACCATATGGTATTTCTTCGTTTTTAATTCGTTTTCGAGAACGTTTGCACAAAAGGGACGAGTTCATCATGATTTATTCATGGTAAAGGAAACCGTACCGGAAGTCATACCAGCTCCGCCAGTGGTAGAGTATTTTGTGGTACTACCGTGGTTCAATCGTTGTGTACTGGCAAAATACCGTTTTTGTAATTAAATAATATTTTTTTGTTAAAAAACCGTACCGGCAGATTTGTGATACCGTTTTGGAATAATACCGGAATAAAACCGTAATATACCGGATAACAAACCTGAATAAACTAAATAAGCATATGTAATATAAAATTCAACAAACTGCAACATTACTGAATTAACTACATAATCGTTCAAATGCATGTTTACGATCGAGTACAAAACAACCAAACAACATTCTTAAACCACAAGTTCAAACAACATTCTCAAACCAAAGAACATTCTCAAACCACAAGTTCACAACTACCACAAACACAAACTACTTCGGTGAAAATTGAGCAAATGGAAACTATTTCACTATTACAAGGTGCGCCATGGAAACTAGATCTGGTGCAAATTGAGCAGAGATCAGTGACCTGATCCCATGAATGATGCAACCTTTCCAAAGGCTGAACTAATGAAACTAACGGTTTTATGGTTTCCCGTAGTGCCCTACCAAAACCCCACTTTCACTTCTGCATCAGAAAGCAGAGGTCTTTCTGCATCATTGTTTTCTTTACTGGCCATCACGGTTGTCTACAATTTTGCCAGTTACAAGGAGAATAACAAACTTTTCATGAAATGGAGATCAATGATCAGATTGGGACCTTGTCCTATAAACAGTTTCCAATCAAACCAAAAATCAAAAATGGCAGAAGCACGGAAACCTTAATCCCCCCGCTTCTTTCTTCTTCCAACCTCCCGCCCGCTCAGCAACTCAGGTCAGCAGATTTGCTTGTTACTAGTTTAACATTTGCTCTCGTCACTCTCAATCAAGCATCAACATAGGGTTTTCGATCCATTTCGGTGGGAGAAGATTCTCGATCCATACCTGCTGCCGCCGTGTTCTTCTTGAGCAGGGGAGGGAGACGCGTGCCGGTGCCGGAGACGCATGCCAGAGCAGCGGCAGAGTAGTGGCGGAGCGCGGAGCAGCGACGGAATAGAGGCGGAGCAGCCCGGAGCAGAGAAACCGTAGAGCAGCGCGGAGCAGCCACTGGCCTGGTCGCCGCCTCGCCGGTCGAGAAGAGGAGGGAGGATCGCCGGGCCCTGGTCGCCGCTCGAGAAGAAGACACCGGTCGAGAAGAGGAAGGAGGATCTCCGGGCCTGGTCGCCGCTCGAAAAGAAGTGGCCTGGCTGCCGCAAACGAAGCGGCCGATGATTTAGGGTTGTGTTTTTGAGGCTTCGGCGATTTTTTTTTTCCTAATGCCAAAACGACGCCGGTCTTTCCCATCAGCTTACCCCCGGTTAGACAAAAACCGAGCGGCTTTTTGAGTTGAATCGGTTTTACCGGGAAAACCGGCCGGGACGACTCCTTCACCACAAACCGCCTATCGTATCGGCCAGGCGTCAGTTTCTGGTTTTACCGGTTCAACCGGCCGGTACGATCCGGTTTCCTTTACCATGGATTTATTGGATCTACAAATTTCTAGGTGAACAAATTACAGGTCCAAAAAATATCACACAATACCATACAATACCACCCTGGTACGGGGGTGGTATCTTGTGGTACAAAATGTTAAAAGTCGTAAATGACAATTATTATACTTCTACTATCATGTATTAAACCATCCTACAATCTTGGTTTTTCCATACCACCATGATACGCTTTTCAAACCATAGGTATGCTCTTATTTCGATACTAGTCAATACCATATGGTATAGACTGGTAAAAAATGGCTCAAATTTTTTGTTCGAAAAATATATTTAAGTGGATATAATTTTGAAAAGCACAATTAATATGATCTAATTGTGCAAAAAAAATTAAATTTCGACTTAAAACGAGTGAGAAATCGTACGTCAAAGATTGACGAGGGGAAAATTAAAGCCTTTCTAAGAGAGAGATGGATGTTGATGTCATGCTGATGTGGACGGGTTATGTATGGTTACTCACCATAAGCATAGACCAGGAAACCGGATCGTACCGGCCGGTTCAACCGGTTCAACCAGAAATTGGACCAAAAGCGGTACGGTGGGCTGATTGTGCTGAATTTACCGTGCTGGCCGGTTTTTTCCGGTTGAACCGGCCGGTACGATCCGGTTTCCTGGTCTATGATTCAGCTTCATTTCTACGTATTCTCGTCCAATATGTGGAAAATAATTAAACAAGAATATTATTTTGCTATTTTTCTATGTTGAAAATGGGTCACCGTGGTTGTATAATGCTCTATTTGGTTCTTTTTTTTGATGGATTATATTTTTTATACTATCGCATTTCATTTCTCTATCAATAGTGAAAAACGATATTTACCGGTACAAAACGGTTGAACCACGGTCGTACCACAAAATACCATACCAGAAAGGAATCCGGTATGATGTCCTGTACGGTTTCCTTTACCATGACCATAAGGTGATCTGTTCCTCCAAACTGTGCGATCTTTTAAGCAAAAGGTGACATAGCAGAAGCTTTTTTTGACATTTTCTTATAATAGTATATCCTCCATTAATATATGGTAGAGTTTTGTGTACTTTTCTCCATTTCAAATTTGCTGCAACGAGAGTGAAAGTAGGAATGTCATTTTTGTCTTTACACATTTATTATTTATTTCATATAAAAATAGCAATATCAAGATTTGAACCCGGGTCTTTTCAAACAAAGATAACAATCACAACCAGTTACACTAAACAAATTTATTGCATCTTTTTTTATACAAAAAATAGACAAAGTTAATATCTGAGAATCAGAGGACTTTTTCATCATAATTAGCAAGCTCACTAAGTCTACCGTATGTGTTTTTATCGAGCTTGATACTTCTATTTTCATACTAGAGTTTCATGTAATTTTCTCAATTTTAAATTCCCGCTCTCTCCTTAATTTTTGCTAAAGGTAAATGGGTAATTGGCTAACATGGAAGAAACTAATTATGTAACTACGTGTTGTATCCTTGCATTTTTCAATTTAAATTTAAATTTTGTGTTTTCTTTTATCTTTATTCTTTTCTTTCTAACTTCCTCCGAAATTTCATCCATCGTGCAATAGTTTGCGCCTTTCACTTCCCAGTACAAGACTGTCATTGAAAATCAATCTTCACGTATCTCTTGGCACTACGGTTTTATTGTTGGGGATTTTAAGCTGGGCGAGTAGAAGATTTCAACTCCGATATCAATTCATGGCGAATAGAATGGAGTTCATCAATAACTGAAGTTGTAGAAGGAGGATTAGAAATTGAATTTTTGGTTGAATATATGCCTCTTGAGATAGAAATTTGGTTGTACAACGGAGAGTTGTGGCTATTGGATCTTTAGGTTTATGGTTTTTGCAATTGTCACAACCTATTTCTATATTAAAACGAGGAATTATTGATTGATTGTTTGAAATAGGTCGCTTCTTTATTCAACCTACTGGAACTAATAGATAAGGAGTGTCTAATTTTGCGCCTTATTACTTTGATCGAGTCTATTCGTATATTGGAGTAACCCTGATTTTTTCGTTTGCTCTCAAGTTGTGATGGTCCCCTCTTAGCTGAGTTTTTAGTATATAGATGACTTGAATCAACAACTCTCCATTTCTTTTTGATTAGTGACATATTGTTTCTAAAAGGAGAGCATTGAACCCTTTATATAGAATTGTGAGGTTTAAGATTTAGTTTCAAACTATCTATGGTTGTGTGAGAATTTCAGTGAGCTTTTATACTCTATATTTCTTGACTGTGAAAAAAAAAACTAACCAATAGCATTTTAACAAGGACTTAATTAACATTATGAAAATGGGGTCAATGATACATTTTTATATTTTATATTCTTAAATGATTATGATATTTTTCCGAATGTTCGACCTATATATTACTTTTTTATGTATCATCTCGATCGAATGATTATCAATAAGATTAAATGGATTAATAAACTTAAAAGTAACGTAAAAATACAAATAATCAAATATGAGCATTCCGGCCAAAGGGCCGGGTTATAAGCTAGTTTTGTAAAATGTGTTCACTTCTCAGTACAAACCTCTTCCTGAACACTTCGGTATAAATCTCTTCCTCCAGTCACGGGCCGGGCTTCGTGCTAGTTTTTAAAACTCCTCTTGATTGACTCCAAACAAAAATTGGCAGCCCAAAATTATTAAGAATAACCCATTTTCCAACAGGCCGACCGGAGGTCGCTGAAGAACAAAAAAGTTCAACAAGCCCAACTCACAACACGCTTAAGACGAGACGCCCAACCCGAAGCAGCTACATTTCTCCTCTCATCCTGTTTCTTTCTGCTATTCTTTGCTCCGTCTATCGGCGTTCCAGTTATCGTCGCTAATCTTCTCCAACTCCACAACCGAGAATCAGGAAACAAAAGAAACCCTAAATCGCTAGAAGAACATAGAATCTCAACTTCACTGCAGTTCAATTCTAATTCAGCCATCGTATTTGACTTCCTCGGATGATAATCAGAAAGAGACTGGATTTCTGAAGATCCTTTGGCAATGGGAGCGAGTCGGAAGCTACAGGGAGAGATCGATCGGGTACTGAAGAAGGTCCAAGAAGGTGTAGATGTCTTCGACAGCATCTGGAACAAGGTCTTGCCTCTGCTCTCTCCTCCTTGTTCTCGCTTCCATTCCCAGTTCGTTTCCTTCTTCTTGCCTTCCGCAGAAATTTCAACTGTGCGACTGGGAGATTTCGTTATGTTCTACGAACTGTGGCTTGGAATGCCCGGAATGGAGGTGGAAATGCAGAGATAATGCAGGCTATTGAAGCACTCCATTTTGAGTTCTTGACTGTAGGAGTTCGTATTGGTTTTCTCTGCAATTAGGCATTTGTTCTCTTTTGATACTATTGTTGGAATGAAGAATTCGAACGAGCAGATATATCCATGATTTGAGAGCACACTATCCAATTTTCGTATTAGATATGACGATTGAACAAGACAGCCTCATTGAACAGCTTCATTATCTGTGTTATCAAATATATCATCTATGCCGGGGCTCATTTTCTTTTGCTTATGTGGTCCATTGTTGTTTCAGGTTTATGATACCGACAATGCAAATCAGAAAGAGAAGTTTGAGGCAGACTTGAAAAAGGAGATCAAGAAACTGCAGAGATACAGAGACCAGATCAAGACATGGATCCAGTCTAGTGAGATCAAGGATAAAAAGGTCAGGTGTCTTTCATCTTGTTGAATTCATGGTCTTATAGAACCGGTAGCTGCTTGATTATGTGAGATTTGGAACAAATGAATTATGCTAGGTCGTAAATCTTAACTCAGAACTGGATGAACTATAGTTGACAGGAGGTGGGGATGGAACGTTTGAGGTCGTGTGTTACTTAAAATCTTTGGTTCGTGTTCAGTTTAGTGCACACTGCTAATTCATTCTATGGGTTTAGGTTCGGCACGGTTTTCAGAGCAGGGGGTCATATGGTTGAAGTGTTACTGCTTCCTGCTTTGCTTTACTTCCTTGCATTACACTGGTACTTTGTTTTACTTTTAGATTCATGTGATATAGTGGCTGATCTTTTCTCTTTTCATTTTTGGATCCTTGTGCAATAGGTTAGCGCCTCCTATGAGCAGGCACTGGTGGATGCGCGTAAGCTGATTGAACGTGAAATGGAAAGATTTAAGATATGCGAAAAGGAAACTAAGACAAAAGCATTCTCAAAAGAAGGGCTTGGTCAACAACCTAAGACTGTAAGCCTCTATGCTTACCGCATCTTTTTTTCATGTCTGATGCCCAGGCTTATGTATACGAAGGCAGCAAAACCTGAGGTTATCTATAAAGTACCTGAGGTTATCTATAATAAGCCCCCCTTCCCATTGGATTAATATGACGGCTATATAGTTTTGCCGCCTCATTATAATAAATTTTATTGCGTACTGTTTGCTCCCTATTTGTTTGTTTGTTAAACTTTGAGTTTTCGACATTGTTCCATGCTCGAATGGATAACGTTACACATTATGTGTTTCATAACAAAAAAGATTGATCGTTATGCATGAGAATTGTTTGTTTTGCTTGATTATTCTCTATATATTCTTATAGGATCCAAGGGAGAAGGCTAAAGCAGAGACAAGGGATTGGCTGAACAATATGGTATGTGAAAAGAACAAATTATTGATGCATGTTTTACTTTTTTCTAGTTGCTGGTGTTACAGTTGCATTTGAAAGGAGGGATTTGGCTTAAGAATGCTGCAACAACAGTAGAATCTGCATGTTGTTTACCTGCAAGATCTGCCACGCGCAGAAAGCTTGACTTAGGTTGCTTTTGAACCTTTAATGCTCTGCATGTTTGACAAGTTGACAAATTGTTCATGACAAGGATATCAATCCAAGGCATAAGAGTTCTTATAGATATTGGTCCTTTCTGTTTATTTCTGCCTCTTCTGTCCTGTTAGTGTCTTCCAAGGGAACGTCAGTTGCTCAGTTGTAAATGGTTTTATGTGATACCTTAAAATTCATTCCTCGAAAGAAGAATTGCATGTGAACTTTTTTAACTAATGGTTAACTGATTGTTCTCACTTGTTTTGCTCTTGAGTAGGTCAGCGAGTTAGAATCTCAGATTGATAGCTTTGAAGCTGAAATAGAAGGTCTCACCGTGAAGAAAGGAAAGACGAGGCCTCCCAGACTGGTGAGCGAGAAGGGAAAAGCTTTTTCAAAATTTGCTGTTATTTTATGGAAATTAATGAATTACCTGGATTTGTTTGTCAGACGCATTTAGAGGCATCTATTCAACGACACAAGGCTCATATAATGAAGCTAGAGTTGATCTTGAGGCTACTTGATAACGACGAGTTGAGTGCTGAGCAGGTCAATGATGTTAAAGACTTCATTGATGACTATGTGGAGCGCAACCAGGTGTTTGTCCAACTGTGTCTACTAGTGTTATGGTCCTTTTTAGTTCTTTACTGTTGTTTAGATAACCATATATGGTGATGTAGCTTCCAGTTTCTAAAGGTTTTTTAGCTGTTGTTCTGTCATCTGTTGTAGGAGGATTTTGATGAATTCAGTGATGTAGATGAGCTCTATAGCTCATTGCCATTAGACAAGGTGGAATCCCTTGAAGATCTTGTCACAATTGCTCCTCCTGGTCTTGTGAAGGTAAATTAGCACTGCGCTCTGTTCATCTATGAGGTACAGCAATTTAGAGGTGAACTGTGATGCAAGTATAGATTCACTTCTGTTGAAATGGGAAAGTACTACATAATCACTTTGGTTTGTCTCCTGTTAGCAGCTTCATTGAAGTAGTTAAACCTTTTGTACTCTTGTAGGGTGCACCAGTACATAGCCTGAAGTCTACCTCCCTGACAGTTTCTGCGCCACCCCAAATACCTGTATGTGTGCATGTGCCTTATTGGTAGTCTTGCATGCCTTGTCTCCATGCAATAATGTTGTGTTTTCTTTCCAGACGGCTGTTAGTACCACCCCTGTCCAGGAGCCAGCTGAAGATACAGCTTCGCAAGACAGTAATTCTGAAGCTGTTGCTCGAACCCCACCTGCAAAGAGCAGCATCATGGGTTCTTCTGTTCCATCAACCCCATCTGTTAGTCATGTAACTCCTGTGAGTGTTCCTGCTAATCCGTTATCTGCCATGATAGCTGCTCCTGCAGTTATTCCAAGTCCATCTCCTGCTCGAGGTGCTGGAGAAAATGTTGCTGCTTCTATTCCTTCATCTCCTGTCCCTCTTGCAACTCCTGCAAAAGATGAAGAAACTGCAGGCTTGCCTGGACGTAGACCATCACCCGCGCTTGGCGATCCTGGACTAACAAGGGGCATTGGCCGAGGTGGCCTCACTTCGCAGCCACCAACTAGTATCCCTCTGACTTCTAGTACAGTTCCTAGCAATGGAGCTCTTGGTGCAGTACCTTCAGTCTCTGATGTGACAAAGCGAAATATTTTGGGGACTGATGATAGAATTGGAAACACTGGAATGGTTCAGTCTTTGAATTCCCCATTAAGTAATCGGATGATTTTGCCTCAAGCTGGCAAGGCCAATGATGGAACTGGTGTAGTAGATTCTGGCAATGAAGGTGCTGGGTTAGGTGGCAGAGTCTTCTCTCCTCCTGGCGTGCCTGGCTTGCAATGGAGACCTGGAAGTTCGTTTCAGACTCAGAACGAACAGGTAGCTCTTTGCTCCTATTCAATGAAATCAGCTCTAATATATATATATGTGTGCTTCTTTGAAGGAAATAATGTCCAGTGGTTCTAAGATGCTTCTAGGTATAAGTGATAGAAATTAGAAGGCACTAGTGCCAGATCCAGCCTTGAAAAGTAGCATCGTTCTATATTGATTATGGGCTTTGTATACCACTTAGGTATGTCTTATTTCAGATATATTATGTGAAATAACTTGAAGATTTTGTTTCAGGGTCAATTTCAAGCTCGAACTGAAATAGCCCCTGATCAGAGAGAGAAATTCTTGCAACGTTTTCAGCAAGTCCAGCAAGGCCATAGCAACCTGCTCGGCATGCCTCCTCTTCCTGGTGGCAGTCATAAGCAGTTCCCAACACAGCAAAACCCACTTTTGCAACAGGTGCATTTCCTGTCTGGAAAGTTTCTGGGGTATATCTTCCAGGTTTACATGGGCCAATCGACATATATGGCCACCATTTGAGGCAATGAGTCTTTAGGTGCTCTAGTTTCTTGGGTTCAACTACCAAGTGGTTCCAGGTTCAGATGTTGTGGATCCTTGGCTATTGAGCATGATTTCTGTAGAATCTGATCCAACTCTTTCTTGCTTGGCCTTTATCCTTCATTGAAGTTACAGTTTTCTTTTATTACTAAAAGTTTGAATTTCCACGTGGATTTTTCAGTATAACTCTCAAAGCTCATCTCTCTCCTCGCAAGCTACACTAGGGCTTAGCATTCAAGCACCAGGGCTAAGCAATGCTACACCCACTACTTTGCAGCAGTCAAACTCAATCCATCAACAGTCTAGTCAACCAGTTGTGACACCAAGTGGTTTAAAAGATAGTGGTACCCTCTAAGTACCACTTCTGGTTCTTGTCTGTTCATTTCTTTTATTTATAATGACCTTCAACTACAATTCTGTCCATAAATATGTAGATGCTAGTCATATGAAACCTGAGGAGCAACAGCAATCACTGAATTTAACCGATGACTCAGCCTCTGAATCTGCTTCTACAACCGGACTGGGTAAAAGTCTGGTCAGTGAGGATGAGCTTAAAGCTCCCCACCCAATGGACAATGTATGTATAAAAACTATGATCTCAAATTCAAAAGTGAAATTTCTAGTTCAACGTGAACGCAGTTTCATTGCCAAGTCAAAGTGAATAATATTTTTGAAATGATAATCATGGTCTATCATTGAGTTGCTATTAACTATGTTTTGCAGATATCGAGCTCTTTGGCAGAGCTGTCTGTTCAAGTGCCAAGAGACACCGATCTCTCTCCCGGGCAACCCTTACAACCTTCTACACAAACAACCAGTGGTTTAGGTGTGATCGGTCGCAGAAGCGTAGCTGACCTTGGTGCCATTGGCGATAGTCTCGCTTCACCTGCTGCAAGTCCCGGTCCACTGCATGACAACAGTTACAATTTGCAGATGCTAGAGGCTGCGTATCACAAACTTCCTCAACCCAAAGACTCAGAACGTGCGAGGAGCTATATCCCGGTACTTATCCTATCCAACTTTATTTCTGATTAAAATCTATAACAGGGGGGAAAGTGCTGGAACGTCTGATTATAATAATGGTATCTATCTTCATTATAAAAAAAAACAATGGTATCTATCTAATGCTTTTACAGAGGCATCCTGCTATAACGCCATCCAGCTTCCCTCAAGTTCAGGCTCCCATCGTAAACAACCCTGCCTTCTGGGAGAGGCTGACCATGGACAGTTACGGCACCGACACCTTGTTCTTTGCATTTTACTACCAACAGGTGATAGAGGATATTACAAAGTGGTTTCTGTCTCGTTGATTTGAGCCCCGCCAATTCGGTTACCTGAGCTGTGTATCTTGTTTGCAGAACACGTATCAACAATATTTGGCTGCAAGGGAGCTGAAGAAAGGATCGTGGAGATATCACAGAAAATACAACACCTGGTTCCAGCGACATGAAGAACCCAAGGTTGCCACTGACGAGTATGAACAAGGGACGTACGTGTATTTCGATTTCCACATCGCCAATGATGATCATCAGCACGGATGGTATGTTGAGTTTCGAATCTTCTTTAGTCCCCAGACCACATACTGTCACTTTTTTTGGTTTTTTTTTTAAGGAAGAGCTTCATGATCCTACTTGCCCCTTTGTTCAGGTGTCAGAGAATCAAGACGGAGTTCACGTTCGAGTACAATTACCTTGAAGACGAACTGATCGTGTAGGTGTGCAGAAGTAGTAAGAGTGATGTTCTCCCTCTTTTTTTCTTGCGTTTCTCTCAATTGGTGTACACTAGGAAGGAAAGAGAATTGGAGATCGACTCTTTGTATCCTGTGTGCATCTATCAACACAGGGATCAAATGCCATCTATTGTGTAAACATGATCATTTTCATTTCATCTATAAGTTGGTTAGAACCCCCAATGATAAGCCAGCACGTTTCACCATGTTGCACGGTAGAATGAGTATTCTACGTTGGTGACAACGTGGGATTTCATGAAGGGTGGGTGGCGTCAGCTTAGGATGGCACCTGCTTCGATCTTCGCCGTGCTAATGTTTTCCGTTGGTGACAATTTTGTAAATCATGCAACCATGTTGAAACATAATGAAAACTCTGGAATATAATGTCTATTACATAGTAAAGTATCGTCCTTTTTTTTAACTAATCCACAACTACATGACATGCTTATCACTAATTTATAAGATGTCATATGATAACAATCAATGTTGGACCTAACTAACAAAATTGTCATCAAGATGTGTTCGATATCTAATGTAGTACCCTCCTCTTTCTAACTTCCCAATAAAATGATCGACTACTTTCTCTTTGGTAGGAACTAGGTGAAAAGGCTAATTGCTTCATTAGCAAGCTAAACGGAGGGAAAATAGTAACCTTAAGAAAATAATAATAATCACAGTACTTGTCGACTCAAACTAAAGCAAACAAAAAATAATGTTGAAAAAATACCGTACATAAAATCCAAGAAATCGAGTGTCGAAGTAAATGATTTGATTTCCTAATTGAAGTGCACGACCACATATATGAACTTTGGGTCGTCACTACACCCAATTTTGGAACAAACATCCCAGCCGAATAAATTAGTCAGGACCCAAAATTGATTACAAAAAATTGTGTGCGAGCCAAGGAATACCAACAATATGGGCGACAAAGCTGTTGTTTCCTTCATGGAAGAGTCTACAGGTTCCTTGGCAAAGATACAAACGAAACACAAAATGAAACACAAACAAAAACACAAACTAGAACACAAAACAAACAAAACAAAAGAAAGACTAAACTAACAACTTATTGGTTTTCTACTAGTTATCAAGGTTCCCCACTTCCCCGGCAACGGCGCCAAAAAGTTTGATCACTTACTTCCGTGCAAGTTATTGTCAATGGTTAGCACATGTCAACAACTAACTCATTCTAAGCCAAGTTTAACCTAAGATGGCATTGTCGTATAATGGCAATCAAAGTCGTATTTTACTACCCTAGCCTACTTCCCACCTCGTTATTTAGTGGATCAGTTTTGGAGGTTTGGGTGGAGGATTTGAGCGAATTAACTAGTTTAGAGATTGATAAAGATAAAAGTAGCTACTTCGGGGAGCTATCCCTCATCCTAGTCTAGGGCTACTATGTAATGTCTAGATACTTAGGGTTCTCGAATGTGGTGAGTGAGCTCGTTTTCGTGGTTATCCACACACCTCCGAGTATGCCTCCCCTAGACCCATATAAAGTCACCTTGATCTATGCTATCGTATCTGGGACACTAAACTTGTAGCTCCTTTCAATGGATACTATCCACCATCCACAACGAGGTTTTATCCCTGGTTCTGTCTAGGAAGTCTACCTATGGCAGGGCGGTCGCCTCGACCACCAAAGGTCCCTATTCATACATCTATCTCAATTTGCTTGATGGCGCATACCCGTCTAACCCTAGAATACCATACCCAGCATAGAAGCATAAAGTAGGCTAATAGAGAAGATTATGGAGACTTACCCAAGCACAATCAATGATAGAATAGCAATAGAATCAATTAGATAAACACATTCATTCATTCAAATCCTAAAATATCCATACATACATAGTAAACCCTAAAATAGGGTTTGGGGTTTAAAGCCCCTATTACCTTAGAGGACTACTCCACAAAAGGAGAGAAAAAGATACATAGAAGAGATGAAAAAAGACTTGATGTTGAGGAATATGCCTCCTTTCTTCTAGCTCCTTCCCCTTCTTCTCCTCTTCTCCTTCCTTTAGATTCTCTCTCTTTTCTCTCTCTAAAACCAGGAAATCTTCTCTCAAAATAAGTTCCCTTGAAAGGGGGAAATGAGTCTTCTATTTATAAGCAATCAGAGGATGGAGAAGTTCGCGGCCGGCAATGCAGAGATCGCGAGCGAGGCTCTGCAGCCGCGACCACGATCTTCTTCACGGTCAAAATATGTTATGGCCATGATTCGACTGGGGAAACTTTCTATTTTTTCCCGGCTCCTTCTTCGCGAAGTTCGCGCCCTGAGCCCTCCAATTCGCGGTCGTGATCTACGTCTTCCAGGCCACGATCTTCAGCTTGACTTCGCGGTCCATGATCTCGGCCGTGATCTTTTCTTGTAGGCCACAATATTCACGCTTCTGCCCCCTTGTTACACTTGTGACTTTTTTGGTACCTAATTCTCAATTATCGTCTAACACACCCTAAAATCACATCGAAATCAAATAGGAACAACATACAGATGTGATTGATGATGCTCAAGCTATTATGCAGATGAATTGGCACAAAACAAACATCAATATGAAGGGTAAATAACACCAATTTAGGTGTTATCAACACTACATTCTAATAATGGATTAATTGAAAACCATCTCAAATCCAACCTACCATTTCTTATTGTTACTTACGGTTTGTAATTGATAAAGGGGCAATACACTAGAAAACCCGAACTATCAAGAAAGTGTGATTTGTGTTACGAACTATTCAATATTCCATTTATGTCCCCACCTATGATAGTTGTGTGTCATTTATGTTCCGACAATTTTGTTGACCGTTAACTAGATTTTTTTTATTGAAGTAATGAAACATATGAGATTTCCTCTAGAGTGGTGAAGCTGTTTGAAGAATGTGTTACCACTCCTAGATTGAGTGTGTAGTTTAATGGTTGCCTCTATGGGTCTTTCCCAATAAGAAAAGTATTGCGTCAACGAAATTCCCTTTCCCCATATTTATTCACGGTTGCAATGGAAATTTTCTCCTATTTAATGGAATATGAAGTCGATACTGAACAAATACCATATCACCTAGATGCAAAGCGTTAGAGATCCCTCACTTATACTTTACAGATGACTTGTGTGTCTTTACTAATGGATTTGTTAGAGAAGTGAATGATGTTAAGTGGTTAGTGGATAAATTCTATATTATTTATGTATTGAATGTAATTTGGGCAAGTGTCACATGTTTTGTGTTGGGGTTTCATAGGAAGAGAAGTATGATATATCGCAGTATACTGGTTTCTCCTTAAGCTCTGTGTCAGTTGGATACCTTGGTGTGCTATTGTTTTCTAGAAAGATTACTTCACAAGCCCACCTAGTTCTGGTGGATTAAAATATTGCAAAAATAAGAACATGGTAATTAGCAGGCTAAAATGCTCATTTATGTAAGGATGATCACTTATGTGATTCCTAGTGTGTTACAATATTTGATGACTATATTTATCCTTCCTGAAAGTCTTGAAAATGATCGAAGAAGCTTGTACCAAGTATTTATGGGGAGTTCATGGTGATAAGGGGAGAAAAAGAGATGTAGTGGCCTGGGCCAAACTAGCACTGTTGAAGAATGAATGAAGTTTGGGGTTAAGAGACTTCAAAACATTGAATAAAGCCTATGTAATCCGTCATATCTAGAATATGTTGGCATATGTTGGTTCTTTGTGGGTGGCTTGGATCAAGAAATATAAAATTAAAGTGAGATTATTGTGGAATCTACATCCTAATTCAGCAGGTTCATGGATTTGGCAGTAAATACCCATGGTTGGGGATGCTCAGATTCACATCACAGGTTCTGGTCCCTCATTATCTTGGAATGACACTATTCTTCCTCGTTACTCAGTAAATAGGGTATGATATTCTATTTGCACTCCTTCTCATTGGTTGAATGGTTTATTGTAGTTTGGGACAATCATTTTATTCTAAACATAATTTGTTGATGTGGTTAGTGATATTAAACATAGTTATGACAAGAACTAGTTGTATCAGTGGGGATATGATTATTGAATGTGCTTGTGTACTTTGTCATGGTGAAATATAATATAGAGATCACTTGTTTGACTCATGTTCATATGGTACTTGGGTTATGCAAACTATTTTAAGGAAGGTCTATTTGATACCTGTTGGGCCACGAGCGGAGCAGCGTTGGGCTTCAGAGCCCAATAAGAGAAGAGAGCGGCCCAATCTAATAGGGAAGGTAAGCCCAGGATGGCAGGCTACCTCAAACGGGACATCAAAAAGACCGCCTAGCATAAAGTGCTGACAGGTGATGAGATGTGAAGATCCACCTGTATATTTGCCTTGGGAGAAGCAGTACTAAGCATTAAGTACCCATCGTAGGTGGTTCATGAGAAGACAAGATATGCTTGGGGCGCCAGACAAAGCATTTAATGCCCAAATCTACACAACCGAGTATAAATACCACCTCAGGAGCATTGATGGATGATGGTAACTCAACTACTTCCCCTCTCTCTAAATCTAAAACACATATTCTCATTTCTCTCTCTAACTTACGCTTTAGAGAGTGTCCTGAGCAACCGTCCAAGGACCCTTGTCTTGCAGGGTTCAGTAGTGTCTCCCTTCATCAAGAACAGACACCTCACTCATGCTTCACAAAACCGCCTGACACTTTATAGGCTTAAACAATACCAATGATGTCAAATTGGGATGATCATTTAAATTTGACAGTTCATAAATGCGATGGTTCTATTGATGTTGTTGTTGTTGGGAGGTTGCTCTTGTCTATGTTCATCAGTCATACCCGAAGAGAGAAGTATAAGGGCAGTGGCGGATTCAGGATTTTTTTATAGGGGTGTCCTCTTCTAAAAATTAAATTAAATTAAAAATTAATTAAATAATTCATAAATCAGACAATATCCGACTAGTACATATTTTAGCAAAAGGTTAGGACGTATTTTCATATTTTGAAAAAAGAATATAAAATAGACTCAATATCTACATTGCTCAACAAATCTGTATATCCTACTAGACAATAATGCACGAACTGATCGCATATTCGATTTCTAACATTGTTCTTGATGTAACTCATAGTAGAAAGACTCTTTTAACTATTGTCATGTAATCATGAAATCAATTCAAATTAAGGATAACCCGTAATTAGTTTAATTGTTAGGTTTTGAAAATAATTAGGGATAAGGAATAATGTTTTTAATATTTTAGTGTTTAAAATAGAACAAGAAACGAGTTGAAACCTATAGAATATGTTTAATAATAGTAGTGTCCTATGTTTGAATAATACAAAGTACCACTTATATTTTTTTAATCATACACAAATTACTACCGAGATTAGAATAATCGTTTTTTCAAAATTTAAGGGTGTCTCGGATTACCGATTATAATTTTTTTATCCATACAAAACTATTATTTGGGATTGGATAATCGTTATCCCAAATTTTAGGGGTGTCCCGGGACACCCCTAATGGTCCCTGTATCCGCCACTGTATAAGAGAGTCTATGGAGAATCCAATGTGCCTTCAACGATTGGTCCTACAGAGAGGATAATTGATGAAATCCAATTGTTTGCAAGGAGCAATGAAACTTCTCCAGTAGATAATGCATAAGGTGTTTGGAAATTAGATACTTTTAGTTAATCTTGTTGTATAGTTTGAATTTTTCTTATAATAACAACTTTAAAAAGCTTGTAATTGTTACAATTTGATATGGAGAATGCATGTTGCATCTTCTAGGCTTAATGCAATTTTTTTTATATTAACCATTAAAAAATAGAAGAAAGTTAATTATAAGGTAATTAGAAATATGTTACTTGGTAATGCATTATTGTAAACTAAAAAATCAAAAGTAAAAAAGAGGATGTGATGATAAGTAAATTGCATTTTAATGAAACATGTTGATGAATAAAATTTATATACGTAACAATTAAAGCGAGAGATTTGATGTTGAAGAAGTATATTATATATATAAGACTTAAACGATGTAGTGTAATATCACGAGCAAATTTTGGTATTCTTTTTCCATTCAAACCCGTATCCAACCAAAATATTTGATTTTAAGAAATTAAAACCCAAACCCACCCATAAAATTGAATTTTCTCGGATATTTTGGGTGGGTTGGTTTGGGATGGGCGGTTGGATGGGATTTTGTTTGTTTATTTCACCTTAGGCGGAAAGAAAAAAGAATCATGTTATTTTTCGCTTTCCATGAATTGAGAGATGACAGATTGATAATAAAAGATACCTTCAACATTTGAACAATACCAACTTCTACTTTTTATCAAGATTGTAAAACCATATAAGATGTTATATATGGAAAATCACAGATAAGATATCTTGTGCTTAACTCGTGGTTTATTCAGCTCCAATTTGACTTTTGGTTTCAATTAATTCTGATATGATCCAGTATGTAAAACATATTAATTTCTACAATATTATATTTATGGCATTCTGAAAATGTTACAACTGAAGTATCAGATTTATAATTTGCCATCCTAAAATACTTGGCCTCTAGTACCATATTGTATCACATCCAAACAACCAGTTAACTATTACTTGAAGAACAACATATAAATATAATCCAAGCTTACCTCCTTCAACTCACAAAGCAATCTTGCATAAAAGAAATAGAACTGATCCATTTTGACACCAACTCTACTTTGTCTGCCTAGATTTGTACCTTAATTTAGAGGTACGGCACTTCCTGTTTGAATCATTTTCTTTCTCAATTACATCTCTCTCCATTGCAAAACAAACAAAAACACAGTTTGTGTTTTTCTTGTAAATAGTGTGTTTTAATTTAGGGTTAATACCCTAGTTTGGCCCAAAGTTTAGCGTAAGTGTCAGTTTTGGCCCGATTTTTCGAATAAGACAGTTATGGCCTACTTTTCAAATTATTGAACAAATTTGGCCCAAAATGTAAGTTGACCGTTAGTCTTGACGGTCAAACATTTAATCCGTCAGTGACTCAACATTCGTTGCTGAGGTGGCATCGACATGGCTTCCACATCATATCCACATAATTTATTTATGCTAAGAATTCTAAAAATGAAAATAAAATAAAAATAGAACTTAAGAAACAAAGAGGAAATTTTCCTCTGGAACCCTAGCCACCGATTCTTAATCCCTCTCCTCCGTGACTCCTTAGTCCTTCCTCTCTCCACTACTTCCCGTCGACGACTCCCTCGTTGCCGCTCCTGGCGACACCGCCTTCATCCCAATCACCTTCTCTTACCTCATCGTCCCTCAGCGACTTGCCCTCGCCGATCTCCGCCAGTTCAAACCTCTCTCTCTTTCATCAGAAAAAGCAGAAGCGAGCTCTGCCTTTCCGAGCCCGACAGGCTATTCCGCCGATTTGAACACTTTCAGAAAGCCAGAAGATCTACCAAACCCTCCGCCGCTGCTGCAACCTAATCGCCCTTAAACTCTCTCCAATGAGTCTGTCGTCTCTCTTATTTCAACCCCATCGCCTTTCAACTTTCTCATTCGCTGATTTTTGCTTCCTCTAAACCAGATCTGAGTTGAAATAGGGCGGTAGTTCTATTTGGGTTCCTTGACTCGGCGATTGGATCTCCAGGTCATGATGGCGGCGATGTCATGTTTTCTTAGGGCTCGATTATAGACTAGAGAGAGGGAGGAGGTGGGTGGCGAAGGGCACCATCTGTCACGGCGGAGGCGAGTGGGTTTTGGCAATTTTGGATTTGCCCGAAGAGGAGAGTGGAAAAACCAAAAAAGTCTTTGAAAAAAAAAAATAATTAACTAGTTCTAATTTTTATAATTTAATAAATGATGACGTGTACGATCCTAGTCAGCACCGGATGCTGAGTCACTAACGGAAAAATCATGGACAATCAATTTTGACGGTAAATTCAAAACCCGGGCCAAATTTGTCCAAGAATTTGAAAAGTAGGCCACAACTGTCTTATTCAAAAAATCGGGCCAAAACTGACACTTACGCCAAATTTCGGGCTAAACTAGGGTATTAACCCTTTAATTTATGACTTCTACAATAATAAAAAGTTTTTTAGCCGTTACTGCATTGTCTTCTAAATCATTTAGAAAGAGAAAAGAGAAAACAAAATTCCCCTTTCACATTCGGACCAAAAAACCCCTCTCCAGTATCCTCTGCTTTCACTCTCTCTACCTTTTCCTCCCACTCTGTTTCTCTCCATTTTCTCAGTTCATCTAACCAATCTCACCTGGACTCAATCTTTTCCCTCCCTCCGCTCCCACAGGGTTTTCATTTTCATCCGTTTGAACAATTGATTGTCGTTTTCCTCCTCCCCCATTCTTTTGTATTTCAATTTATTTAGTAGCTGCCAAGTTTCTCTAGCTTGGTTCCTTTTCAAACTCAAAAGCGAGCTATCGGTTTGCCGTCTTCTCCCCACCCCTAATCAGCCTTTTCAATTCATATTTTCTGGGGAGGGTTTTTTGTTTTGCTTCTCTGGGTTCCTCAAATCGCTGAAAACCCATCTCGCAGAGTCACAGGATTGCTTCCTCTGGGACTCATCGCCGCCATTAACGCCTAGTCATTTGGCTTCCAAAAAATACAGAGCATAGAGTAAAAGCCAGGAAGATATCTCTCATCTCTCTGTTCTTTCTCCTTAAATTTATATCTGTTTCAGTTTCGGTTTCTGCAAATTGCTTTGTTTCTTCTCTCATAACCGCTCTCTCTTTCAATTTGAACTTCAACAAAAGGAAAGCACTGGTACACACGCGCGCACACATACACACACTCTCTCTTCTTTAATTGAAAAGCCTTGTTGCTTTCATTTCCTAAGCTCTCTCTCGAATCTCCAGAAACCTAGAAAGGGGGGTTTTCCTTTCACTTTTCCGATTTGCGATTGAGTTAAGAGTGAATCAATTCCTTGTTGTAAAGTAGGCTTTTTTTCTCCTTTACCCCTTTTGTGGGAGTTCGTCCATTTACTTGAAGGGAATCTAGTTCTCCCCTTCCTCCCCCTCCTGTGTCTCTTTCCACCACGATCTCCATTACACCTTCAAGTGGTCGTTAATCGCTTATATCTCGCTGTTTTCACGGTACCCACACAAAAAAACTGCTCCCCTTCTCTCTGTTCAAAAGAGAGAAAAAGGAAAGTTCGAACCTTTCTTCACTTTCAATCTAATAGCCCCTGCCCTCTGTTTCTTCTCGCATAAGCTTCAGCTGAAACCATGGGGAGCAGATTATGGTTTCTGCTTCTGGGGGTGTTGCTCCGATGGTGTTCTTCTTGTTCCGTTGCGAATGGTTTAGGGGTAAATTGGGGGACCATGGCTACCCACATGCTACCGCCCAAGACAGTTGTGCAGATGTTGAAGGACAATGGGTTCCAGAAAGTGAAGCTATTCGATGCTGATTCCACCACCATGAATGCTCTTGCTGGGAGCAACATCGAGGTTATGGTGGCTATCCCTAACGATCAGCTTCAGGCTATGACTGACTATGGCAATGCTCAAGAATGGGTTAAGAGAAACATTTCTCGGTTCAACTTCAATGGTGGTGTTAATATCAAGTGAGTCAAAAGGCCAACTCTTCTCCCCCCCCCCCCCCCCCCCCCCCCCCCCCCATTCTTGAATTTTCCCGTTCTTATTGGTTAGGAACTTTGAAATCCGTTTGTTGTTCGTGTTGATTGGTTGATGATTTGGGGCAAGAAAGTAGGAGTGTAGTTAGAGATGCTAAACTTGGGGTACTTTGAATCTGTCAAAAGAAGTGTATGCTTTATCGAAATCTATGCTGTTCATGGAGTAGTCAGTAGTGTGAAAATTGAGTACTTTAATGGGGAAATATCGATTTTGGTATAGGGAAGAAACACAAACTGCTTAACTTTGTATCTGAATTTGTCAGAGCTTCGAGCAGTCCATATTAGTTCTTTAATAGGGGAATATCTCTTGATTCAGAATTCCAAAGTTATACTTGATTTCCATCTGTTATTAACCCGAACTGTTTTTAGTTTTTACCCCCCTTTCCAATTTGTTTAATCTCTTTGTGGTAGCCTTTCACTTAGAATGTTATATGTAGCTCTTAGTATAGAGAATGGTGACACTCGATGCCTATATCGTTGGATCATGTTTTCTTGCGTTCCAAGTATGACCTTCCCACATTTGGCTCCTAATTAAACCCGAAAGTAAAAGGGCTCTCCTAGTGTTGACCATGAGCTCAATTTCCTTAGCTGTTATTAGTCTTTCTTCTTTCTAACCTACTCAGTTAGCCTCATATTGAATATTAGTTCTTCAAATTTGAATCTGGTATTCAAACAGATTCAACCTTTTCGGTCCCTAAGACATTAGGGTGGTTTAAAGGTCTGATTTTTACAACGGCAATTGTGTTCTATGTTCTTTACATTACTACCAAATTTTCTGCAACAGGTATGTGGCAGTAGGGAACGAGCCATTCCTGAAGACATACAACAACTCGTTCATAAACGTCACATTCCCAGCACTCCAGAACATCCAAAACGCCCTCAACGAAGCTGACGTCGGAGACACCATTAAGGCCACCGTTCCCCTAAACGCCGACGTATACATGTCTCCGGACGACCAGCCATACCCATCCGCTGGAAGGTTCCGGCCCGACATCAACGACCTAATGACTGAAATCGTCCAGTTCATGAACAAGAATAAGGCACCTTTCACGGTGAACATCTACCCCTTCCTTAGTCTCTACGGCAACGACAACTTCCCTTTTGATTACGCCTTCTTCGACGGGGCAGCTCAGCCGGTCGTCGACAAGGGCACCGGGATTCAGTACACCAACGTGTTCGACGCTAACTTCGACACTTTGGTGTCTGCCCTCAAGGCCGCGGGACTCGGTGACATGACGATCATGGTTGGGGAAGTGGGATGGCCGACGGATGGTGATAAGAATGGCAATGTCGGCAATGCTTACCGGTTCTACAACGGTCTAATGCCCAGGCTCGCGGCGAACAGAGGTATCATAGTTGAAACGCGTTTTCGTACATCTGCACATTTTGTGTTTTATGCATTTGGTTGTCTCTTAACTTACTAAACACAATTGAAACACAGTATTCCTTTGGGTAACTCAGTATAACTAGGGTTAATATGACTTATAATACTCTGTACATGTTTTAAGCCGTGTAAATTATCTAATCCTATTTTACTAACTATGTCAATTAGGTACACCACTTCGACCTGGCTACATTGAGGTCTACCTCTTCGGCCTTCTCGACGAGGATGCCAAGAGCATTGCTCCTGGCAGCTTCGAGCGGCACTGGGGGATCTTTAGGTACGACGGGCAGCCCAAATTCGCTCTGGACATCTCAGGGCAAGGCCAGAACAAGTTTCTCGTGGGTGCAAGAGGGGTGGATTACTTGCCCCAGAAGTGGTGTGCGTTCAATCCGAATGCTAAGGATCTGAGCAAGCTGGCCGACAATATCAACTACGCGTGTACGTTCTCTGATTGCACGACGCTCGGGTATGGGTCGTCGTGCAACGGGCTTGATGCGAATGGGAACGCGTCGTATGCATTCAACATGTACTACCAGGTTCAGAATCAGGATGATTTGGCGTGTAATTTCGAAGGGCTGGCTAGTGTTACGACACAGAATATATCTCAGGGGAACTGCAATTTCATGATCCAGATTGCTACTTCTTCGGCTGGAATTCGTGGGCCTTCTGTTGTTGTAGTTGTTCTTGTGGCGGGGCTTGTTACATTGTTGTTGGTGTCCATTGTTTCGGTATAGATGAGATGAAGAGGAAGGAGAAGTGGGGGGGTTAGTTTTGGTTTGCCAGCTTGTAGATACCATTTTGAGATGCGTAACATTTCCCCCTATACTATATACCATCATTTTGTTAGGTTTTATTTTAACCTTGTGGTGGTTCTTTTTTAGGAGGATGTTTATGGATTACAGGATGCTTCTTGTTGTTTTGAAATAATATGCTTTCACACCATTTGTTTTGTTCTCGTGACGGAGGAGCAACGATTTGGTCCACATATCGAATCAATATAGTTTCATGAATTATTATGTATTTATGCTTAAAGGAAAAGGCAAACTAAACTGGACCAGGTGGGTTGTTGTATCAGACTATAAGTCTATAATCCTCATATTCATTTATATTTTGATCTATATATTCTCTATTAGACCGAAGTTTGGATCAGGTGTCATTTCACAAACCCTTGCAAGAAAAAGAAGTAAATTGCCCGAGAAGATAGCATGTTGATTAAAGTGTGTCCACATTGTCTGCATCCATTTTTCATGGGCTTGAAACAACCCACCACAATTAGGCCTGAAAAAGGTCAACTATCGTGTAAAGTTTTCATTCCCCAAGTAGATGGATTTTTTTTACATTAAGATCAACTTTTATTCCACCAAGTGAGAAGATCCAGATTCAATAGTTTGTACGTGGGATAGGGCTACGCAAAGTGGATCTCACTCAGCAGGAGAGATTGTTGTGTTGAATCACGAATGGGCACTCCTCTTGGATAAAGGGGTGCAATTCCCGAAGATGATGATCCTATGGTTGTTGACCTTTTTGTTATTCGTGAGACCGTTCTCTGGTGTCTCAGCCTTGGATTTTCGGTGACGAGATTTGAAGGTAACGCCAAGGTGGTAATTGATAAGATTCTTAAGGCGGATTATGGTGATAATTGGATGGGGGTCATTCTCGAGGAGGTTGAGCATTATTATGATAATCACAGTGGGTTTAGTGTGCGGTTTATAGGTCGGCGTAGCCATAGGGTAGCACATTCGGTGGCTAGAAAGGCTCTTACTTTGTACCCGAGGATGAGTCGCTTCTTTGATTTTATGGTCTGGCTTAATTCTCGGATGTAACTATCTTTTCTTTGAAGCAATATAATGATTATCTTTTGTCAAAATAAAAAGTGAGAAGAAACTCCAAAAAAACCGAGTGAAAAGAAAAAAGTTACACTTTTAGAGGAGATCATAAATTAGATCTAGTATATTTATCCAATCACTTGAAAGAGAAGATCTGGCAAGAGAATGGGCAACCCAGTCAACTCCAACATTCAAATTTCTTGACACCGTGATGCTCTAAAACACAACACCTAACAATGGCCAAGTGTAACCAATGAAAGAGATTGCAGTATAGTGGCACAAGTAATAAATATCGAATCCACGGGTCTCTAGCATGGATTACGAAACCGTACCGGACATCAAACCGGAATCGTCTTTGGCATGGTAAATCGTGGTACAACCATGGTTCAACCGTTTCCTACCGGTAAATACCGTTTTTGGAATAAAAAATTTATTTTTTTATTAAAAAACCGTACCGGCAAAATTAGGGTACCATACCGGGAAAATACCGGAGTAAAACCGGATTATACCGCAGGTTTAAACCATACTTACTCATTCCCACTGTGATTATCAACAACCCCACAACAAAAAGATTTGTCACTACTTTCAGCATTCGAAAGCTAGGTAGCCCTTCAATCAATATCAACCCATTAACAATTAATCCTGGAATTGCTTGATGGTATATTTGCTCAAACATACCTACACTATACACCAGTAAAGAACCGCAACGAAATTACCAAAATTAGCAAATAAGCACAAAGCTTTATATTAAATTGAATCTTGGCCGCCCAACTCTGTACCCACTTCACTTGTTGCCTGCAGATCTTGTACTTCGGAATTGATTTGTGGGCAGAAGGCGGCAAGCAAAATTGTCAATTGTGGTTTCGCCAAGAGGAGAGAATTGTGGTTGAAGCGGGGAAAAATTGAAGAAATTACTAACCGCGGCAGCAACCGGATTTGGGGGAGACGGGATCGTCCTCATCGTCGTCTTCGGTTGCTGGGGAGTGGGGAGGACGAGTCGCCGGCTGTTTGGTTGCTGCCTTGCTGGGGAGGACGCTGTCGCGGGGAGACGACAGGCAGAGCGGCGGTGCGGCGCGGGGAGACGACAGGCAGAGCGGCGGTGCGGCGCGGGGAGACGACAGGCAGAGCAGAGGGCGGCCCGGAGCCGGGAGATGACAGGCAGACTGGCAGAGCGGCGCGGGCAGAGGAGGGAGACGAAATGCAGAGAGAATCAGAGACGAAGGTAGGGTTTCTCCTCTGCTTACTGCTTTCCGTTTTTTTTTTTTTTTTTTACTCTGCGTCAAAACGGCGCCGTTTAGTAAAATGAAATGGACCGCTATTGTTATTAAAACCGGCCGAAATTCCGGCCCATTGTGGTCTAACCGAAAATACCGGCCGGCATGATTCTGGAGGGTACAAAGCCCTTATTGGGCCGTTTCAACTCCGGTTTCCAGTTTTCCCGGTCTGACCGGCCGGTCCGGTACGGTTTCCTGGTCTCTGGTCTCTAGAGTTACTATTACTCAGCTTTAGTTCATTATCTAGCAGACTAGATTAAGGATTGATTAACTAAACTACTCTACTAACTAAACTAAGTAAAACTACTAATTACAGTTTGGGAACTCACTTAGGTATGATTCCCCCTAGCTCCTCAATTAGGTCCAAGTTGTAATTCCTTTTGGTTGTTTAACTGTTGATTAAACTGCGGAAGATCCGACAGTAGCTTGGAATCTCTTAAGCTGACCAAGCCCTCTCAGTCTAACTACCCGGCAGACGACTAGTCTTCACCGGGAAGAAAGCTGAAGCAGTGAGCACAGAACTCCACTACTGGAATTGAATTCCAGTACAAAGCAGTAAACTGGCTAACTCTCGTATAGCCAATCTCCTACTACCGAATGATGAGACTCTAGCAACCTAATCAGATTCTATCTATCTCAGATTGCAGCAGAAATCAGGAAAAGTTGATCAGACTTCAATTGACTCAATAAACATGCATCATTCGATTATAATCAAACAATATAGCATCCAAAACTTCATACAAGAAAGATCCTAACTCATGGAACTAGGGTTCCTCAAAACCTAAGTGAAGGGAAGTTACTCCATAGAGAAGAGAGAGACTGCAGAAATCTGATCTAGATCTTCAATCTCCATCTCCAAGCTTGATTCCCGAGCTCCAATGGCGAAGAAATCTCTCCAAAATAGCTCCAAGAATGTTCCCAAGTCGCTCTCTCACACCGCCATGACCTTGATTTGTAGCTTCATTCTTAAGATTGAGACCATTGATAATATCCAAGTTGCTTACCTCTAAGGTCAATTCTGGAAATCTTATGAGTGTGCTTTGACTAAGAGTTGACAATCTGATCGAACCTAGCATTAAGAGACATATTATTGTGCTAATTTGAGACCTTCCAAAAGATCTTTCGTTTAAGCTTCAATCGGGGTAGAACACAGGAGGGTAGTTGTTGGAAAATAATATGGGGGCCAAGTGGTTAAGTAATTGAACCGGTTAAGGTTGATTAAAACTTGGCCAATGTTTCATTTTAAACCAACGTTCCCTTAGGTTTGAAATTATCAAACCTTCCCGTCCCACAAATTTACCCATGTGGTGTCATGGTTTCATTTGGATAAATTCGAACCAAGTAATTCAAAGATCCATGCATTAGGGCACGTGGTGCCATGGTGTTGTTTTGTCCAATTTTGAATGAAGTAATGTAATGCCTCATGAATGGTGGTAATTATATATTTATAGTGAATCCATGCATGTATTTATCCATTTTGAAAATTATGCACGTGGCTCTTTGTCCAAGCAATGCAACGCTTGATAAAGTTGGTTATTTGCATGGGATAAATGGATAGCAATGTTTGCGTGGAAGGATTCATGAAACGATACCATGTTTCAGAAATAGGCGGTTGATGATGAACCGTTATATTGTTTCAGAATGGACACTATAAATACTAGCTTATAACCCGGCCCTTTGGCCGGAATGCTCATATTTGATTATTTGTATTTTTATGTTACTTTTGAGTCTATTAACCCGTTTAATCTTATTGATAATCATTCGATCGAGATGATACATAAAGAAATAATATATAGGTCGAAGATTCGGAGAAATATCATAATCATTTAAGAATATAAAATATAAAAATGTATCATTGACCCCATTTTCATAATGCTAATTAAGTCCCTGTTAAAATGCTATTGGTTAGTTTTCTTTTACAGTCAAGAAATATAGAGTATAAAAGCTCACTGAAATTCTCACACAACCCATTGATAGTTTGAAACTAAATCTTAAACCTCACAATCCTATATAAAGTGTTCAATGCTCTCCTTTTAGAAACAATATGTCACTAATCAAAAAGAAATGGAGAGTTGTTGATTCAAGTCATCTATATAGTAAAAACTCAGCTAAGAGGGGGACCATCACAACTTGAGAGCAAACGAAAAAATCAGGGTTATCTCCAATATACGAATAGACTCGATCAAAGTAATAAGGCGCAAAATTAGACACTCCTTATCTATTAGTTCCAGTAGGTTGAATAAAGAAGCGACCTATTTAAAACAATCAATCAATGATTCCTCGTTTTAAGATAGAAATAGGTTATGACAGTTGCAAAAACCATAAACATAAAGATCCAATAGCCACCACTCTCCGTTGTACAACCAAATTTCTATCTCAAGAGGCATATATTCAACCAAAAATTCAATTTCTAATCTTCCTTCTACAACTTCAGTTATTGATGAACTCCATTCTATTCGCCATGAATTGATATCGGAGTTGAAATCTTCTACTCGCCCAGCTTAAAATCCCCAACAATAAAACCGTAGTGCCAAGAGATACCTGAAGATTGATTTTCAATGACAGTCTTGTACTGGGAAGTGAAAGGCGCAAACTATTGCACGATGGATGAAATTTCGGAGGAAGTTATAAAGAGAAAAGAACAAAGATAAAAAAAACACAAAATTTAAATTGAAAAATGCAAGGATACAACAGTAGTTACATAATTAGTTTCTTCCATGTTGGCCAATTAACCATTTACCTTTAGCAAAAATTAAGGAGAGAGCGAGAATTTAAAATTGAGAAAATTACATGAAACTCTACTATGAAAATAGAAGTATCAAGCTCGATAAAAATAAATACGGTAGACTTAGTGAGCTTGCTAATTATGATAAAAAGTCCTCTGATTTTCAGAGATTAACTTTGTCTATTTTTT